GGAGAAGTGAACCGGATCCCCGTATTTACTGTGGAATTCCGTGACGCGAAAGAATCGCTAGACGTATCCATCGATCCGAAATCGAACGATATCCTGTGATGGAAGCGATCGGACATCACGATTACCAGAGATCGATGAAATTGGCAGAGCGAGATATTTAATCTCGTTGGAAGATCGCACGCAAACCAGACATACGTACAACGCAACGTTGGTGATAAATTCAAGAATTAGACGAGTTTCTCGACTCTGTGAGCGCAATCGATGCGACGGGTATTTTCGAGGGCATTAACTTTCCGAAACCAACGGAATCGAATTAACTCCCGACGGATTGCGGATGCGAAACTGTCAACAGACTCGGAAACCGAGTAGTCGAGCGAAGGGATTCGATGCCATTCCTCATTTTTCGCCCGTAAAAAAAGAAAACTGTCAAGAAACGGTGTAAATCCCCCAGAACAAATTATATCGTTCACTGGTGGAAAAAACGTCTCGCGGGTCTGATTAATGTGCAAGAAAACGCCTATTTTCACACGTATTTTTGTTTCTATCACGATATTTGTCGCATATGTTAATCCAAAGTACTCTAACGTATACGAAATATAAAAATTTTTTTATTCCTCATAATATGCGTAGGCTAATTACAATTTGTAACAATAGTTTAATAGTTTCGAAAATATTTTCAGTCTTAGACGATTATCCTAACGTAACTTCGCGAAGGAAAACTAATTTCTCACGATTGTTTATATGTTCGAATTGTATCTCTTTTACTAATATACGCAGCGGTGTGGTGTCAGGACTGTCAACAAAGCGTCTAAAGTGGGGATAGGCGGTCCTAGCGAACGACCCCTCTTGCCTCTGTGCCTTCTCGTGAGACTTCTTTCCACCAGTGAACAGTACTTAGCTAGCGTGTACGTCGCGCGTATCGTAGGATCGGCGCTCTCCACCGACGGCATAAGCTACCAAATCACCGTGACCGTACTACGTGTGTACGTAGCATATACCTCTGTGTAGACCCGGTGTTTGCGACCGCGCATCCGCGAGGGAGTAAATCCCTAGGATAACTAGGTGTTACGGAAGAGAAGGAAAGGTGGGGAGGAGTTAGAGCGGTTTGGTGATTCTTTAAAACGCCTGGCGTGGCTCGCTGCGTGCTAAACTCGACGGTCTGGTGGTAAATCCTGTGCTG